TTACATGCACATTAATATCCTGGCTTGCGCGATTCTGTTGATGATGCTGATCCTGAAGCTGCTGCTTTTTCGACGGTACGAACTTGTCTATTTTTATCTTGTCGATCGGTGCCAGAGTTTTGATCCTAGGCACGATTTTGGATTCTAGTAGTTGTCGGTTGTATCGATCTTGTGTTATTTGCTGCGCCGGCTGAGGTTGTTTGAAACTTTTGATGTTCGGTATTGTGATGAAACGATGAGGCCTCTCTACTTGTACTTCCTCTGGTACTATTGGTGTTTCTCTTACGAGAGAATCAACGTCTGTACTTTTTGCATCGCTTGAAGACGCCGAGTCCTTGACTAAAGGCATTGCTACTTTGTTGCACTTTCTTTGGAAACTGCAGCCAGTTGAAAATAATTTTTATCATTCGGTGATTAAAATTTATTTAAATCGTTCATAAGATTAAACAATTATGCGCGAGAAATGTTTGACATTTTAATCCATCTCAATCTCTAGTGTTATTAATGTCCTTTTAATATTGGTTTTGAATTTATAGGGAAATTTTTTCATTTACTATTTGAAACGACAAATTAGTTATTATTTATAGAAACGAGTTGAATAAATGATTTCGGTAATTTATGCTTTAATACTATCTACATATTTTACATATTTTAAGTAATCGTGTCATTATTATCAGCATAATGATACGAGCTTTTCAATAGTAATATGAAATGACATTTTAATAAATAATATTTTGAAAAACAATGTTCCATCAAATTATAATAACTTTACTCGTTAACTTTTTAATATGGACATTCGAATGCAAATTCATTGTTTTCAATTCATAAAATAGTATATTCTGCAGTATATTAGGATATTCAATACATGACAACAAACTAATTTAAAATAATTTAAAACTTTACTTTTTGAGTTATGTTTGTTTTGGCCATTAGCTAGTTGGTCGGTGAAAGCATTGTGTGCTCAAATTTGCGAGATCATTGATTTTACCGTTTTATATATGATAATTATAATTTGATTTCATAGTTTCAGGACTACATATACGGATCGCGAAATTTTAATGAGAAATTATTTTATTAAGTGACCCTTAAAAGTATTATTAAAACAATGAATGTAATAATCGAAAAATTAATATTCAAGAGTAACGTATGAATTGGATGTTGCTGTCACTAATGAATCACATAAAATTACATCAATACAAAAGGCTGCTGATCAAGGCGTGGTCTTATTTCACAATAACCAGTAATTTTAATAAAGTGGTCGAAAGTAATAATACACTACCTCGAAGACATGTCCACGGGCTTCTCGGGTGCGAGAATCATATTGTCCACATTGAACAGTACACTTTTGCGCTTAGGCTCCGTAAAAACGGATTTATCAGCTCGTTTCAATATACTTCTTAAGGCATTCTTGGCCTCTTTGAGCCTCCTAGGGGGTCTCTTGGGCGATATCTTTGGAATGGGTATCCTAGTAAGGGTGGGCTGCAATGGTATATGTCCATCTTCGTCGTCGCTTGGCTCCCTCGTCTCGTTGAAGACTCTAATTCTCTGCCCGCCAATCGCGGCGACCGAGCTTCTATTTGGTATACGCTCAATAGACTTGACCTTGGACGAATCAAAAAGATTCGAGGAGCTACTGCTAATCGACTGTTGAAGCTCCTGCTCTAAGGCATTGTCCGAGAGGTCATCGCTCAGGTCATCTTCATCCTTGTTGGAGATGCTTCTTTGTTGCTGGTTCTTGAGCAGCAGATACGGATTTACATCGCACTCGAGGATACTCTTACGAGAATCGCCGCTCATGGACGTCGTTGTGCTATTTGTTTCTTCCTCCTGTTTTAATTGCGATGGCGACGACTGCCAGCATCTGGGTTTATTGGTGTGGCCAGTTACACGAACCATTCGACCGGGCAGTGAGCGTAGGGTCGATAACTCCTGCGTCGCCAATGCCTTCTTCGAGGTCCAATCATCCTCCTTCGAATCCGCCTATTTTCATATATTCGCTTATTTGTTTTTTTAATAAAACGAACTTTCGACAAACTAACATCTCAATCTTATTATACTATATCTGCATTAAATGCATTATTAGGGCTTAACATTAGTCGTAATTTCAATTATATTTTTATAATTATCGAATACAATTACCAATTCTAATGTATGTTGAATTTGCAATAAAAAATGAATAAATAAATAAATAAATAAATAAATAAATAAATAAATAAATAAATAAATAAATAAATAAATAGAGAAAAATCATTAAACGCGAAGAGAAATTTTATTCCCTACTAATAATAATACACTTGGATACATTTAAAAACTATATTTTTTAAAGAAATTTCTAAAGACATATCAATTTTATCACACACTATTAATAATGTAATTTATGTACAATTTTCACTACTCGTCTTCATTGGTTTCAATCATCGTTTAGTCAATGAAATAAGGGATGGTTGAATAGAGCCTATATCGATAAGTGAATAGTAGGCAAAAAAGCGAACGGTCGATCGCCGATTCGAGATGAAATTGTAATGCGCACCGATTGGTTGGAGTTGTCGTCGTGGATGCAGTCGGTCCCAGGACTCGCACTGCTTGAGTTCGGACTGGACGGGGAGCACTCGAACCACTCGGTCCTAGACATGGGCTCGACAGTGGCGATCTTCAGGCCCCCTCGATCCTTATTCAAATTGCATCGGACGACGCTCCGACTACGGATGTCACGCTGATTCGCTTGGCGCAATGGCGAAATGCTGCGGGCCCGCGACCGCGGCTCCGAGAGTCTGCTCCGACGCATCAGATCGTAGGGGTCATCGATGCTTGGTTTCAACATGCCTGCTCGACAGTCCGACATAAGCCGGGAATTTCGATTTATTATTATATATTTATATATAGTGCTAGTGCATGATTTAGAAGGGGATCGCTTTCCTTCTGGGGCTCGCTTTCACCTAATCTAGATTAATTTATAACGTACGAGCACTTGCTTTACCAAAAATCTTTGCTACGGTACGGTTATGCAGTTCACTATTTATCTTGTATGCTGCTATCTTAACATCTGTTTTATTTATTTATTATTTTTATTTATTTATTTTTATTTATTTTTTTCTTTTTCTTTTTTCTTTTTCTTTTTTTTTTGTAATTCCATAAATTATATGGCGAAGGCGAGTGAGAAATAGTTTTCTACACTTCCTCGATTCGCGGTAAATTAACTTGGATTTATTTTAATGGACTGCCATTTTATTTGGCCTTTTGATAATAACTATAAAATGCTAATGTAAACCATTTCAATTCTTAGATTTAACAAGATAATGAAGAAAGATATAATGAGTTCAAAAAGTCTATTTGTATTTTCTGAAACAGAGTAATTCCATAGAATTTATAATACTTATCGACTGAGGTTAACAGATCAACGACCACTTTACGGGACATGCAATATGGAATTTCACTATACATATTATTATTTCAATTATATATTGACATACGATTTATGCAAAATGATTTATGTAATATTGAAATATTATTATTTTAATAAAGTTAGATTTTATCATCGTGTAAGTGAATACTTTATATATATGGAGTAAACGCCTCTAGAAGGAAATACCTCGATCGAATAAACAAATAAATAAAAAAAGGAATTTTACAATAATAACAATTCAAGCTTATATCAATTATATGAGAAAAATCGTAAGAATTAAGTTCAACTTATGACAATTTTTCTACAAATACTATTATTTCAAATTTTTGTAAATAAAAATAAAATTGTAAATAAAATTTGCTAGAATTATGAATTGTTTAAAATGAATAGATTTCGTACGTATTATTATTAAGCATGGTAGTGTTAAGAGCTGATTAAAATTCATACTAATCATCATACTAATCACAAACGTTCAAATGTAGGTACATTTATTTTTTTTGCAATAACTGCAGCCGTGGTCGGTGAAAGTTCTGTTCGTATATCTTGCATACAGTTTGCTAAATGCGAATTCGCCAGTGGAATAGATGTTTATTTTATATATGCCTAGAAGAAGCGGTGAAAATTCAATGAAAGACTTTCTTCGATAGAACTTGGTGCATTGTTATTAGTTGTTATTAGCTTGTGCTATGTTATGGGCGTCGAGCATAAGCACAAAAAGGTACGTTACATCGTACCAACGGTCAGCGATTGATTAATTATGTGCTTATGATTTGAAAAGATATATTTATACAATGTGATTGCATTTATTTGCATATTTGTATACGAATATAAATTTTTATATCGAGACTCGATAAAAATAGTTGTTTTATTTATAGACGTATAATTTTAATTTACTCTGTAATATCACTACGATATTGCTTATGTAATAGAATTACGTGAATTATATAATTTAAAATGTATGATAATTGTTTTAGTCCTTGTAAATACATCGAAATGATTACTCCAATTTATCCCCATTTATATATAGCTCATCGATGGCCAAAGCTTTTTTGTAATTATCCCTTTACAATCGTAGTTTTTCTTGTAGTTTATGCTCCTTTACTAAATAGAATAAAATGGCCATTTATATCTTTACAATATAAGATATTACATTTTTCAATTAACTTGACTTTGTGTAATTAGAGATTTCTTAATTTTTATATGATAATAAGTGATCTATTAGTGAATAGTTAGTCTAAAAGTATTGAAATATCATTAAATCCAAGATGTATAAATATATTCCACAAAGTTTTTAAATAATTCATTACTTTTCTCCAATATCTTGGAACTAAAGTAACAAAAGCAACAAAGTAACAAACAAACAAAATTTACTCTTCATAAATTGTTACACTGTTATTTGACTTATAATTCGATTTAGATTTACATAATTCAAGATTGATCTTCTTTTTAAATGTGTAAAATGATATTTAGTTCTACTTTGACTGAAATCCATACTTAATGGTTCGAGAAAATATATAAATCATTGGCAAATAATCTGCATATAGCTTCGGTTATAATTCATTGAACCGATAAAATTATAAGTGCCAAGGTAATTTTATTATTATATTTGAGCGACAATATTTCACAATGTTTTCCATAAATAGAAAGAGAAAAAGAAAATAAAAAAATCCTTCTGCTCAAAGATTTATAGACTTGCAAATTTGCTCTACTCTTAGCTTACTATCAAACAGTTTAAATGACCTTTTAACATTTAATAAATCGTCAGTGCGATCGTAACATACATATAAGACTGTGAGTTGACAATCAATGATCTCGAGCGATAAAGGGAATATCGTACGAGCCCCCACAATTGGATGTAGAATACAAACCGGCCAGGCTGGGCCTCGTCCTGACATGCGCAGTGGGCATCCTGCAAGTGCCGCCAATGGCGAGACCCGCAAGTCTGTGCCCGCCGCACTTCCTGCAGTTGCTTCCGACGTCGCGCACAGTACCACTAAGGAAGTCCGGGCATGAGCAGACGAGAAGGACCGAGGCCCCTTGATGATGGGCCAACTGAGGTACGTGGTTCGGCCCAAAGGGCCTTGATCCCGTCCCCCGTACCGTACCGTACAACCAAGGCTCCCCGTAAATCATCTGCTGAGCGAGGACGCTGCCGCCGGTCACCGTACCCCAGCCAATGTGATGCTTCCCTGGCGAGTGGATAGACTCCTGGCGAGGCGATTGCGAGGCGCGCGATAGACCCAGTCTGACACTCCATGACTTCTTGCCCTTGCTCAGCGTCTCGTAGCCCTAAAATACAATGGCGAGTTATCGAGTGTAGTCAAGGATAATTTGCTCTTATAGGACTTTGATTAGTGACTTTGGAGCGTTTTTATATATTTAGTATAATAGGGAATGCAAAGGCTTACATTGTTATTAGTTAATATATCTTTGAGAACTGTCAAATACACTTATCTTATACCGACTACTTATATCGGTAAATTCTTTACTTCTTCTAGCATCCTACGGTTTTTGAATTATTAAAATAATTAAAATAATTACTACGATTAATGTGATTAAGATTTCGAAAAGTCGGAGTTTCTTAAAAGGTGGAAATTACATTACGAGGAATAGCTTCCTTCAAATTACAGTTAAAGAATACATCACTTATTTGATTAAGCCTTAGTCGAGAATTTTCCAATTTTTAGATAAATATTTTTATTACTATATTTCGATTAATTTCATTTAATCGTGCCAACAAATAATTATTTTAAATTACTTAGAAGTTTTACAATCAGCTATAAGATTGCCAAAATAAAATAAAAGAAATGCTGCTTTTCTACTATAAGGCGATTTTGTAGTAAAATTAAAGTTACGTATTCATCGTACATATTCATTATTATCATACATATTCATATCGACTCTATTACAATTTCTATTAACGTAAAGACATTGATTAAAGATATAAATTTATTCTCATGGAACCTTATCGATTATTTATATGTAAAATTAGTACAATAAAACATTGGCCTACTTCATGATTTTGAGATGCAAGCAGTCCGATTTAACGCATTGAACAATTAGTTAAAATATAGATGATATCGATATTTCATCACTTGAAAAATGATTTTATGAAAGTATTTCTTCACAATTACATTCATCTGAATAATAAATTGTTACTATCTATTTATAAACAACAGTATTTTCTTCATACGGTAAAGCGATATTATAATTAACCCTAGATGATTATATACTGTTTAGGCAATAATAAAATCAAAGCATTTAAGGTTAAAGACTATATTTATCGTCGTTTCATAAAGATAATTCTAGTTTTAGAGAAATATTGCGATTTAAACATATTTGTTCTTTCTATCCGAATATCACTATATATATATATATATATATATATATATATATATATCATCAACTCCAAAATTGGAGTTTCACTTTTTAAACTTTTATGTAAGCTATTAATGTGCGTAAACAACAAATGATAAACTGACTTACTTTCATGTCTGAGTGTCGTGACTTGTTCGAAAGTCACGATACTGGTTTAAAAAATTAATAATATACCGTATAAAGAGATTTAAATAACTTCAATTTTATAAAATTCCATTAAGCGATAAAATGAGCGGATTCGTATATAAATCTGGTATAACAATTTTTTGTTTCGTTAGATATATTACAAATTGTAAAAATTTTTGTTCCATGACATGATCATTTATTTGATCGGACTTGTACGTTTTTTTTTATTCTGAAATTATTTTCTACTCTTAATATAATATTTTAATTTTTTCAACTTGGGCATATATATTGTATTTTAAATAATATAAACATTTTTATTAAATTTCTCACTGAAAATAATATACAAATAAATTTTTTCTTTACAATATAATGTACTAATATTATTGTTGAATTTGGGATCTTAAAAATAGAAGCAATATGTGTTAAATATTTTCTATAGTAATGCCTGTAAATATAAATAGACAAAGAATGTATTTTATTTCTTTTAAACTTAATGTCAAGTATTATTTAGGACAGATAAATAATATCCCTCTATTATTATTAATCAAATTTACTGCCGAAGTAAATTGTATATATATAGGCACACACAAAATCTCTTTAAACAGAAGTGAAAACTTTTCCATGTAGTCTCTAATTGTTAATAGACTTTTACAAATTTTCATATTATACAGAAACTTCTTTCATGAAGTAGTACGTTAAAAGAAGTATGTTAAATCTCTAGTTACAAAATATAAGAAGAAGCCACGACTTGACCGTGGGGCACATGTAGATGTAGATATAATTATACAATACTACAAGAAGAAAATAGGATATGGTTTGGAAGACAGTAAAGAATAGCGTATAAATTGAAAATTACTTTAGTGTCAGGTCTTGTACGAGATCAACATTGTCATTCCTATAGGTCTTCATATATGGAAAAATGTCGATAAAGCAAATTTTCTCTAATGAAGAAGCACATGGAATGCGTAAGCGTATTAGCCAGACGGACGAAATAGTGCATCTCTACATTTTTTCGATCAAATTTTTTATTAAAAGGGAGTTTAATTTAAAGAGACTATTGATGAGAGATAGTCTTATGCAGTACACGTGTCATTTATTATTTCACTTTTAATCGATATATTATAAAAATTAAAATTATCTTCTATTGTATACGAACTATTAATAATTATCACCAATAATGAATATTGATTTTATTTTAGCTGCAAACTCTTAGTTTGACATGTTAGAAACTTTGTTTTACACCATTTCGATGTATTTCGTAATTTCTCAAATTAAAAATAATGATCTCACAAGCGACACTCTGCTTGTAATTGTTATTTTCTTTTTTTAATCGTAATAAAATAGCCGACACTTTCACCGAGTTACGATATTAGAGTAAAATATCGTAATGACAATCAAGATAGGAAAAAAAATCGTCACCTGTACGAAAGCAAGAAAAAATATTCCTGATTAAGGGTCAAAAGTAATTACTTTTTGTTGCTTTTATTAAATAAAATAAAAAATAAAAGATAAACACTAAATAGTTTCTACTATTAGCTTAAGATGTATAGAATAATTTTAAATATTAGCTACAAATTTTATTTGATTAGTACATTGTTGAATCAACATTTGTATTATAAAAATATTAGATAAAGAATATAATATAAAAAAAATTTATATTAACATTATTTTCTGAAATACACTTTTATATACATTCTATTAATTCTAAAGTTTTGTTTAATAGATTTAATTTATATTTTATAATAAGATTTAATTTTCAAAAAATTATAATATATAAAATGAATACCTAAGAACGATAGACCTTGGCGTTGTTCAAAGAAATACATCAATTTTTAAATTAAATATTTCAATTCAATGTAATTAACGGATTCTCGTGAGTATAAATACATATAAAATTTCACAAAATTAAATGCTACATATAAAAGGGTAATGAAAAAAAAAACGAATTAGGGAGTATAACCAAGGGCAGGTGTACTTCAAGCATTAAAGATAAATACTTCAATTATTCGTGGATCTTTTTAGATTATTTTTACAAACATTTCGTGAACACTATATGAGAAATTCAAATAATTTCTCTTAACTTAATGAACTTCTTTCATCAACAGTAAACGAACAAAAATATTGATTATAGAGAAAAATAGTTCAATCGTACGATGAAGATATGACTAGTTGTACCGTTTTCAAGAAGAAATGATTATTTCTTATCGGTTAATATTATCACATGGAAAAGAGATCTCAAAAAAGCAAAATTCAGTGAGCAAAATTGAGAATATGGAAAGCGAAAAGGATATAGGCATGGAGCAGTTCTTTGAGAACGAGCAAGGAATAATGTAAACACACCCAATATATCGCTATCTCAACATTGATCGATTCAGCTCGCGATCACGGTTTCAAAATAATAAATCTTCATTGTCCGGAATATCAATGCTGGTCACATACATTTTTTCCTAACATCTTCCTTTCTAATCTAATCTCTGGCGTGGCGTTAATATTACGAGTAAGTGCCACGGGACGTGGCGTATGAAATCGGATATCAGTACCACCGAACTGCAAAAGCATGTGAAATTGAAATTCATGTAGAGAAATGGAGCTTTTAGATTTTGAAAATTCGCATTTTGTTTTATTTGCATCTAAAACCTGTAGACCTATGACTGTATGAATGAAATATGTGTCAATTAGATTATTTTTATTGTCGAATAAAGATTAGATAAAGATTTTTCATTTATTTTCATGGATTTAGTAAATGTTTAATGTTTTAAATGTCCCGAAATGTTTGCAATGTATTCTTATCGAAAGCTTGTATATAAAATCGTAAATTTCGTAAAATAACATTAAGAATAGATATTATCGCTTGAATAAATAAATCTTCAAATAACTAACCAAATAAATCACTCGAAAAATAGATGCTTAAATATTAATCCAATTAAAATTTAGATTTACATTATTATATGAAATTGCGCAATTGAAACAATTTCCTTTCACGGACAGTTAATGAAAAATTGAAAGCCTTCCGGTCAATATAATGATTTAACGGAAATTACGATCCTGTACGATCATATGTATACCAACACGCAAGGTATTGGCTTTACAGACCTTCCACTACTAAGCTTTACACGTAAAATTTGAATTTTTTTAATAATATGAGTGAAAAGCGGAAGCGAAGCTAATTTAGCATATATTATAAGTTAGGAAATAGTTGTACAGCTTTAACCGTGTATATATACAAATATTTAGCTATAATTTTAATTTAAATAATAAATGGTATGAAATAAGTATTTTAATAAGAAATTATTATACATCTCTGTTATAGATAATCGAGTAGATAATCGTGAGATAATCGAATTTTGTAATCTTCAGTTGAAAATATAATTATTTCTCTAATTCATATTTTATTTTCTTATTTCTTTATTTGTATAATAGTTATGAGATTTTGTTGTTTGAGCATATTTATAAATACTTTACTGCGCAATAAAAATGATCTTTAAATAAAATATCAAAACGATTACAAATAACCACGAATATTTCAATTTTCAAAATTTCACTGATTAGCAATTATTGTATTATTAGTGGTTACAATGAAAGAATTTTTACATATAATATTATTATTAGCAGTACACATATTACTGATTTTAATTTGTAAGAAAGATTTTTGCTTGAAAACACAAGTAAGACAGTTAAGTAATTAATAAATTTATATAGTAAAAATTTTATGTTATGATTAATTGAATTATTACATCAATAAATGAGTCGATATATCAATAAAACAAATAGATAAAGTATCAAAA